TAATGATTTTGAGCACCTTTTTATTAGCTTATCTTTAAATATTTTCTGGGGGCTGTTTAAATTTTGCCTATTTTTAATCAGGTTGTTTCTTTATTATTGAATTTTGAGAGTTCTTTATACATTATGGTTACAAGTCCTCTTTTGGATATATATGCTTTGCATATATTTTCTCCTAATCAGCTCTTTTCACTCATTTGGGTCTTTCAAAGAGCAAAAGTAAAATTTTGATGAAGTTCAATTTATCAATTTTACCATTTATGTGTTGTTGGAATCTTACCTAAAAAAAAATCTTTGCCTAACTTAAGGTTCAAAATATTTCCTCTTATTTTTTTCTACAAGTTTTATAGTTTTACTTTTTATATTTAAGTCGATAATACACTTTTATAATACATTTTTTACTTTGGAATAATTTTAGATTCGCAGAAAAGTTTTAAAGTTAGTACAGGTAGTTCTTGTGTACCTCTCATTCTCTTTTCCTATTATTAACATCTTACATAACCATAGTAGATTTGTCAAAACTAAGCAACCAGCATTGGTATATTACTATTCACTACACTTCTGTTTTCTGTTCTAGAATTTCACATTAGACCTCATGTCTCCTTATTCTTCTCTGATCCTTGATACTAGTAGTTTCTAAGTCTTTCTTTGTTTTTCAGTTTTTGTTATTTTAGATAACCTTGACAGTTTTGAGCAGTACTGGTCAGATATTTCATGGAATGGATCTGAATTTGGGTTTGTCTGATGTTTCTTCTTGATTTCACTGGGATGATTTTTTAGGAGAGGCACCCTTTTTATCACATATCTGGGGCAGGTGGATACATGATGTCATCATGTTTTATCACTCATGTGGCTTAATCTTGATTATCTGACCACAGTGATGTTTGCCAAGTTTGTCCACTGTAAAGTTAATGTTTTTCACCCTTTCTATAACTTATTGTGTGGAAGCAAGTCACTAAGTATAGCTCATGCTCAAGGAATGCAGGAATCATGCTCTACAGCACTTAGAAATGGGTGTCTCTAAAAATTACTTGGAATTCTTCTGTAAGATGATTATTTTAAATGGTACTTATTATTTGACTCTTCTCTGCCATTTATTTATTTAATCATTTATGATATCAGTATGGACTCATGTATATTTATTTTGTAATTTAGGTTATAACAAAAATTATTGTTGTTGCTGAACTTATTCCAGCTCTGCCCATTGGTAGCTCTTTTAGGTTGGCTCCTGTATCCCTTGTACTTGCTCCCCTCTCTTTTTCCAGTACTTCCTTTTATTCTGACACAAGATGCCTAAGGGTCATCTGGTATTTGCAATGCTCCATTCCTAGAATCAGCCATTCCCTAATTCCTTTTTTGTGAGTATGTTATTTAGAAACTAAGATTGAGCATTAGGTATTCTGATTACAGCTAATGGGATGTCACTATGTCTAGGGCAGGGTTGGGCAACCTTTTGACTCGAGGGCCACAATGGGTTCTTAAACTGGACCGGAGGGCCGGAACAAAAGCATGGATGGAGTGTTTGTGTGAACTAATATAAATTCAAAGTAAACATCATTACATAAAAGGGCACGGTCTTTTTTTTTTTATTTTTATTCATTTCAAACGGGCAGATCCGGCCTGCGGGCCGTAGTTTGCCCACGGCTGGTCTGGGTTCTCTCAGCACCCAGAGCCAGGAAATGTATGTATGTATGCAACCTAAGGATATACACATTTACAATTACTTCTACATCTGTCTATTTACATTTATATTCAACTAAATGTGAGTTCATACTGATGCCACTGACTCTAATGCAGTACCAGGTGGTTCATTGCTTATCTATAACGTCTTTCTCCAACAGGGAGAAACATGGATCCCACCTTTAGTTTACCTATTTACAGACAGTCCTCAGTTTACGTCGGACTCAACGTACGCCGTTTCGTGGTTACGTCGCCATCTCCCATTTACAGTACAGTGGGGCCTTGTTTAATTCGTTCCGTGACGGAGCTCGTAACTCAAATTACTCGTATGTCAAATCTTAAAATGAACGAGTGAGACACGTGATGCTGGGCTGATGTTGTGGTGTTCACTGTGACGTTCGCTGCGCCAACTAGCAGTGGGGTATCTGAAGCTGGCTCATAACCCGAATTTTAGCTCGCAACTCAAAACAAAACATCGGCCGAGAGATGGCTCATATCTCAAAAAACTCGTTAGTCGGGACACTCGTAAGTCAAGGCCCCACTGTATTTATTAAAAAAAAAGTTCCATCATTTCGACATACGTGCTTTGTGGTTTTTATTATTTATTTACCACAAGTAAAGGTCAGGAATTATCTTTCTTTTAAATTTTTTTTACTGTTTCACTTCATTACTGCTGTGTATGTGCTCCATGTGAGTGACGTAGGTGCATATGTAGGTGGTTTCTGACTTAAGACAAAAATGGCCTTACATCGCGCCATAGGAACGGATCTCCTACCTAACCCGAGGACCTACTGTATTTAACCCCAGCGCACATGTAAAGCAGTTTGAGCTGTTAACCTGTATCTGGAAATCTACTTTGAGTTAATTTTTGTGTGTGGTGTGAGATACAGATAAAAGTTCATTTATTAAAAGTATGAATATCCAATTGTTCCAGAAATATTTGTTTAAAATACTGTCTTTTCTCCATTGAATTGCCTTTCCCTCTTTGCTGAAAACTGGTTGTGCATTTATGTATGGGTCAATTTTAGAACTCTCTTAATTCATTACATTGTGTTTTCTCTTTTTCTTTTTATCCTTATCAGAGAATATGTTTTATTGATTTGAGAGACAGAGAGAGAAAGAGAAACATCATTCTGAGAGAGAAACATTAATCAGTTGCCTCTTGCATGTGCCCTGACCAGGAACTGAACCCACAACCTAGGTATGTGCCCTAACTGAGAATAGAACTTGCAACCTTTGGGTATACTTGGCGATGCTCCAGCCAACTGAGCCACACAGCCAGGGCAGTGTTTTTTCTGTGTTTACTCCAAAATCTTATTTTCTTGATTATTGTAGATTAATTATTGTAAATCTTAAAATCAGGCAGTGTTGTTAGCCATCTTTTTTTCTGCTTATTTTTCAAAGTTGTTTTAACTATTTTGTGTCTTTTGTATTTTCATAAGAGTTTTAAAATCAGCTTGTCAGTATCTATGAAAAAAAGCCTGTTGGGATGTAGATTTGGATTGCATTCAATTTTTAAATCAATTTGGAAGAATTGACATCTTAACTATTGAATCATGTAACTCATGAACAAGTAATGCCTCTCCATTTATTTATGTCTTTAATTTCTCTCAGAAATGTTTTGTTGTTTTCAGTGTACAAGACTTACACATCTATTGTAAAGTTTATCTCTAAGTATTTCAGATGTACTGATGCTATTCTAAATGATACTACTTTTTAATTGCAGCTTCCAATGTTTTCTTGTTAGGAAGTAGGCATACAATTGACTTTTTAATATTGATCTTGTATCCCATAATCTTGTTAAAGTGACTAGTTCTTATAACTGTTTTATAGATTCTGTCTGGTTTCCTATATAGAGGTCATGTTGTTTGTGAATAAAGAAAGTTTTACTTCTTTCTTTAAAAGTTGGGTATCTTTTGTTTTTCTTGCCTCGTTTCATTGGCTAGAACCTCCAGAACAATGTTGAATAGAAGCTATGAGAGCAGCCATTTCTGTTGTTTGTAATCAGAATAGGAGAAGCATCAAGTCTTTCACCAATAAGTATGATGTTAACTGTAGATTTTTCAAGATACTCTTTATCAGGCTGAGGAAATTCCCTCTTATTGCTACTGTGGTGAGAATTTTTATTAGAAACTAGAGGCCTAGTGCACAAAATTTTTGCACTTGCGGGGGGTCCCTCAGCTTGGCTTGTGCCCTCTCGCAGACTAGGAGCCCTTGGGGGATGTCCGACTGCCGGCTTAGGCGGGCCTAAGCCGGCAGTCGGTCATCCTTAGTGCTGCCGCGGAGGCAGGAGAGGCTCCCGCCACCGCCGCTGCACTCACCAGCCATAAAGTCCTGCTCAGGGCTTCTGGCTGAGTGGCACTCCCCCTGTGGAGCGCACTGACCACCAGGGGCAACTCCTGTGTTCAACATCTGCCCCCTGGTTGTCAGTGTGCGTCATAGTGACTGGTCATTCCACCATTCGGTTGATTTGCATATTAGCCTTTTATTATATAAGATGAATTTTGGGTTTTATCAAATACTATTTGGTGCATATTTAGATAATCATAAGGTTTTCCTTTTTTAATTTCTTACTATGTTGAATTATATTTAAGCCAGCCTTGAAACTTTAAATAAGCTTGGAAATCCTGAGATCGACCCCACTTGCTCTTGATGTGTTATATGATCCTTTATGGACATTATTGAAATCAACTTTCTATAATTTTTATATTTATGAGTATATGGTCTATAATTTCCTTACATATTGGAAATTATTCTTAACTTGAATTTGTTGGAAAAATTTTAGGATTATTGCTTCTCTAAATTTTTATAAAATTCACCAGTGATGCCTGGAGTTTTCTTTGTGGGGAGGCTTTTACTACAAGTTCAATTTTTTTAATAGATACAGTTTCATTCACACTAATTCTTCTTGAGTGAGCTTTGGTAACTTGTATCAGTCAAGGAATTCAGCTTTCTTCTTAATTATAAAATTTACTGGCATAATGTTGTCATAATATTTCCATATTATCTGTAGATTTTGTAGTGGTATCACTTCTAATTCCTGATATTACTAATTTATATATTTTTCAAAATGATCTCATCATTCTAGAAATTTATTAATTTCATTGACTATGTCAAAGAAATAACTTTTGCTTTCATTGATTTACACCCTATTTTCTATTTTCTGTGTCACTGAGGTCTGCTATGATCTTTATTATTTCCTCCCTTTTGCTAACATTGGGCTTAATTAACTCTTCTTTTTTTGGTTTCACAGTGTGGAAGCTAAGGACATTAAGTTGAGACCTTTCTTCTTTTCTAATATAAATTTTTTTTTTATGCCATAGATTTTGTACGGCTTTAGCAGCATACTCCAATTTTTGATATGGTATGTTATTATTCTCATTCAGTTTAAAATACTTTCTAGCTTCATTTTGGATTTCTTCTTTGACCCTTTGGTTATTTAGAGTACCATATTTAGTTCTAAAATATTTGAGAGCTTTCCAGAAATCTTTCTGTTATTGTTTTCTACTTTGGTTCCATTGTAAGCAAAGAACATAGTTTGTATGACTTGAATCCTTTTATATTTGAGACTTATTTTATGGTCCAAATATTGTATTTGTTGAGCTTCTCTTAGTTTCTGCTTTATGTATTTTGAACGTTGGTTACTGGGTGCTTAAATATTTAGGATTATTATATCCTCTGGATGAATTGACCACTTTATCATTATGAAATTACCCTCTGTATTTCTGGTAGTAGTTCTATTCTGAACTCAATTTTTTCTGATATTAGTATAGACACTCTAGATATCTTTTGGCTAGTTTTAGTATATGTGTCTTGTTGTATTCTTTTGCTTTAATGTATTTGTGTCTATATTTAATGTACATTTCTCAAAGGAATATATTGTTGGGTCTTGACTTTTTAGTTATCTGATAATATCTGTCTTTTAATTGGAGTGTTTAGATCATTTACATTTACTTTGTTGATAACGGTTCATTTTAAGTCTGTCATCTTACAATATGTTCTCCTCCCATCTGCTCTTTGTTCCTTGTTTATCTTTTTCTATCTTATTTTGTTTGTTTGATTTTTGTATACTATTTCATGGTGTCTAGACCCCTTAAGCATCCTGGTTGTCATCTTGGTTAGCTTCAATTTATTTAAAGATCAATGTAGACTTACTATGTCAAAATCCCAAAGTCTGAATGTATAATGTCTTCTAAGTGTTCTTGAAAAACAAGTGATCTATAAGGGGTTATTTTGATGATCTTAAAAAATTGCTTGATAATTTTATATTTGCCATAATACTTAGGTGCTGATGTAGATTGATGTTTTAGTTGGTGTCAAATGCCTTTTTTTAGGATCACCTATTGACTTCTGTGTTTTTCTCATTCCCCAATGTAAGACTCCATATGAGGAGGTGACACCCTTGCAGCCTCATGAGGACCGTGTGGAGGACATCTTGGAAAAGCCAGCTTGCATTCCTAGGTTTATCAGTATTTGTCTGTCTTGAGTCAGGATCTTTTCTTCCATTTAATTTAGGGATAGAGAGAAAAGAAGAGACATTATTATTTATTTTCTGTTTTCATATCTCTACTCATTTTTTCTCAAATAAAAAGATTGGAATATATTTTTCAGAAAGTTGAGAAACATTTTCCTGTTCAATTTTAGAGACATGTATCCAGTATGTCATTGAGCACGGAAAGAGGGTTTTATCATTTTTTTTGTAGAGGGTATGGCATGAAGAAGATAGAAAGGAACGATGTGATTTAGCTTGAGTAACGCTATGGTTATTTTATCAGGTTTGGAAGTAGGCAAATCACTTATCTATCTTGAATCCTAAGAAATGGCAAGCTATGTGCTCTGTGTGTCGTCTCCCGGAGGCCTAAGACCATTCACCCTGGCCTGGAACTGAGGAAAAAAATACTCTAAATTCCTTACTTCCTAAGATTGCCTTGTTCCTAGAGGATTTCCTTGAAGTAGTTTGTCATCAGAGTATTTTTTTGCAGTAGCTCTACTTTCTAGACAATATGTAAATTAGAGTATTTTGTTTATTCTGTATTCTAAGCCTCGCTCTCAAAATTTCAAAGAAGCAGAATATGGTACATCCATATTAAATGTAGGTGCTTTCTGCCCTGTTTGCTTCAGACAGTTGAGTGTCTATAATGGTTAGCACTGATGATTTGTAAGCTGATGAATGGATGCCAAAAGCTAAATGTCTCTTGAGTACAGTGGAGCCTATAGTCTAGTCTCCATGAATATTAGGGCAGTGTGCCAACTAGAGCTGGCTTAATTTTGCAAGCAGGAGCCCTTTTGAGAAGTATTCATGTTAATTAACCAATTCAAAGAGCAATATTTTTCTTTCATTAATTTGGCAGAAAACAACTAAATATCTGCAGCAAGAATGTTTTTGACATTTTCATTTGCTGCTTGAAGAAAAGTGGATACTTTGAATTGTGATATAAAAGAAAACTGCTGGGATTTTAGCATTTCCATTTTAACTTCCCAAGGAAAATGTGGAATCCTCAATTAGCAATTTTAAAAAAAATAAGGTATAGTTGGCTGCAGGAGTGACCAGAATTAATTCATATTTTGAGGTACAGGCAGTTCTCGGCTTATGTAGGACTCGACATACATCATTTTGTGGTTACGTCGCCATCTCCCATTTACAGTATTTATTAAAAAAAAATAGTTACGTCATTTCAACATATGTACATATGTGCTTTGTGGTTTTTATTATTTACCACAAGTAGAGGTCAGGAATTGTTATCTTTTAAATTTTTTTTACTGTTTCACTTCATTACTGCTGTGTATGTGCTTCATGTGAGTGACATAGGTGCTTATGTAGGTGGGTTCAGACTTACGGCAAAAATAGCGTTACGTCGCCCTGACCTAACCCGAGGACCTACTGTATTGGCTTGTAGGAGATTCTTGGGGAGTTTATTGACTCAGACCATTACTTTAAAATTTTTTTAAATACATTTTTATTGATTTCAGAGAGGAAGGGAGAGAGAGAAACATCAATGATGAGAGAGAATCATCCATCTGTTGCCTCCTGCACACCCCCAACTGGGGATCGAGCCGTATCCCGGGCATGTGCCATGGCTGGGAATTGAACCTTGGCCTCCTAGTTCATAGGTCGACGCTCAACCACTGAACCACACCAGCCAGGCCGGACCCATTGCTTTTTACATCTCCTTCCATGTATGTCTAAGAAATAGAATTTCACTTATGTGTCATAGTTTCCTGTCCTTCCTCCTTTCTCAAGTTCATTTCCACTCCAAATATTGCATAGAATTTTTTCTTTTCCTGTTTCTATTGGTTTAAATAAATATTTGTTATCTCAGTCATCTTATTCCAATAATTATTACATTTTAACTTTAATAAAAAGGAAGTTAGGACCAAGCACCTGGAATGAAATATTTTGAATAATTTGGAACTGAAAGTCCAGTGATGGACGAATTATAGAAGTATTTATTTGTTTAGTATATGCTACTCTTCATATAAATACTCTTATCTATTGATAATATTTATCCTTTCACTGTAGATATAACCTTTAACAATACTCATATTTTTTATTAGGCACTATTTATCGAGAACGTGTTGATTCCTCAATTTGACACTTTTCCTTTCTGCAATTTTGACACATTTTGTCTGTATATTTTTGCTTCTGTATAGTCTTTATGAATTGGAGACGTAAACAGGTGGAAGAACATACCATGTTCATGGATTGGTAGAATCAACATCATTAAAATGTCCATACTATCCAAAGCAATCTGTAGATTCAATGCACTCCCCATTAAAATACCAACGGCATATTTCACAGACCTAGAACAAACTCTCCAAAAATTCATCTGGAATAAAAAAAAAGACCCTGAATAGCTGCAGCAATCCTGAGAAAAAACAAGAAAGTAGGAGGGAATCTCAATACCAGATATCAAGCTATTACAAAGCCACTGTTCTCAAAACTGCCTGGTACTGGCACAAGAACAGACATTAGACAATGGAATAGAATAGGGAACCCAGAAATCGACCCAAACCACTATGCTCAAATTAATATTTGACAAAGGAGGCAAGAACATTCAATGGAGTCAAGACAGTCTCTTCAATAAATGGTGTTGGGAAAATTGAAAATAATTTTTTATATTTCTGTATTAGGAAGCCTGAATATATAATTCCTTTTATTCATAAATTAGATAGCTATGTGACTAATCTTGATATTTACCTTTTCTATTTTGGGGAATATATTGTACTGCTAAAATTTTTCTACTGACCTATGAATATTCAAAAAGATTTTCTCAAATGATATATGGACAGAATGAAATTGAAGTGATTTTTTGTACCTGAATGTCACCAAAGGCCTCCTATTTCTTATTTATTCAGATATTTTTTATCAGAGGTGCATTTTCTGGAATCTGTAATGGTTCTCAAAATTCCAAAATGGTAATATCAATTTAGTCTTTTTTTACCAGTATTTAGTTTTTCCCCTGTATATTTCATAACTGAAATATTTAAAATGATAAGTCATGTTAATTCTGGGGTCTTTGCTTTTAACAGCAGCTTTCTTTTTAACAATTTTAACATCTGGCAGTTTTTTTGGTATGTATGGTTAGAAGTTCCATTTTTGTATCCTCAGGTCTAGAAAATTAATTTGGGACATGAAACAGTTCAAAAATAATAGAAAGTGGAGTAGAGGCTACCATCATGTTGTCCACATTTCCCTCATCCTTTTGAAGCAAAATCCAGAAGTTTATGGTTCTTCAACCCAGTTTTCAATTGATCATGGCAAATTAAGAATAGACATGGCACCATCTGGTTTTTACCCCACCAATTCAAGAATCACAGCCCAGACCCATTAAGTGTGGGACTTTTTTGGAGAAGGTAGTTTAAATGAATCTAAAAATATTTATACGTTTTAAAATAATTGCTCATAAGAAATATGCACATAGGACAAAGAAAAGATGCTCAACGAATGGGAGATTCATTAGATTATATCTCTGACACCAAATACTTTATTAATAAATTTGGCTTTACATTCTGATAATCCTGTCTTGGTTTTGATATGGCTTCCAGTAGCTCCTAAGGCTTACTTATTGTTTCCCTATTTACCTCCACTGGCAAAATAACTTTTGTCTCAGTATTTCTAACAAAAGTCCTGATGTTTATTCTGATTCAACCAGGCAGATCCTTTTTCCACCTCAGAAGGAATCACTGTGGCCATGATGGTGGAAAGTCCTTACTGTTGTATCCTGGATTCTGTGTTTCATCTCTGGAGTAAAGGATGGAGTTAATTTCTTTGGAAAGCCTGGGTCCCCAAAAGAAGTTTGAGCTTCTGGAAATGAAAAGGGAAGAGTAAATATGAAGGGAGGTGATTAATGTTCATCACAAAAGCTATCTTCTTTCACATCCACTGCAACTTACCTTAGCTTTAAGAGCTCCTTTAAATCCAAACTTTCTCTCACTCCTACCATTAGGGAGCTTTCCCTCTGAACAGTAGGAAATGCACTGTTTTCCTGGCCAATCATTTTACATTTATGGGGCACACAAATTGCTATTTTCTTTGTCAACAATTTTCTTTTTGTATTGCTAGGTAATATTTGAAATTTCACCACAAAGCGGATCCTTCTAAAGTGTATTTTATTTTCCCATTTGGTGGAATTAAATAGTTAGGTAGCTTATACCAAACAGGTACTCTGCATTGGCTCTGTTAGCAATGCACAACAATATATTCTTTAAAGAAAATCACTAATTAAAAAAGATCTGAACATCAAGATATTAAAGCCGTGGCACTAGTAGCAAGTGTAAATTTCAGTAATTTGAAATCATGGAAATTTTACTTCAAGTTTTATAAAAGGAACAAAATCTTCTCTAAAAAGATTTTTAGAGGACATTTAATCCATCACCCTATCTAATGTCCCCTCCAGTAAGCCTGGCAGAAGATCAACAATGAGAAATCAGTAACTAAATACTTTCTTACAAGTTCACATTCCATTGTATCTGGGATGTAGTGAATATTCAACAAGTTTATGTGTTTATGACTTCCACCCATTAGGAATCTATTTCTTACCTTAGAGCAGCGGTTCTCAACCTGTGGGTCTCGACCCCTTTGGGGGTCAAAGGACCCTTTCACAAGGGTTGCCTAAGACCATCGGAAAACACATATATAATTACATATTGTTTACAGTAGCAAAATTACAGTTATGAAGTAGCAACAAAAATAATTTTATGGTTGGGGGTCACCACAACATGAGGAACTGTATTAAAGGGTCGCGGCATTAGGAAGGTTGAGAACCACTGCCTTAGAGGGTAGAACTTTATACATATGAGGGTAATTATGTGTCCCTAATTCATCTTCTTGTCGCAGACTTAACATTTAGTCATTTCTCATATATGATAACATTGCTAGATTTACTCACAATTCAACTTGCTTTTCTTTTAAATTTTTGTAATTTCAATTTTCTTTAAAATGTTCATAGAATAAACACCATGCCTTAATATGATCTGAACAGTGCATTTAGTGTAGTGGGAATATTTATTTTTTTTAAAGGTGTTGCTTCCAAAATTGTGGGGGTTTTTGTTTAAAATACATTTTTATTGATTTCAGAGAGGAGAGGGGAGGGGTAAGGGGAGAGGTGGGGAGGGGAGGGGGGAGGGGAGGGAAAGAGAGATAGAAACATCAATGATGAGAGAAAATAATTGATAGGCTGCTTCCTGCATGCCCTCCATTGGGAACCAGGCCAGCACCCTGGGCATGTGCCTTGACAGGAATCAAACTGTGATCTCCTGATTCATAGGTCAACACTCACCCAGGAAGTCACTGGTTAGGCCACAAAATTGTGTTTTTTAATCACTTTGAAGTACCCATATTGTAAAATACACAATATATACATTAAAATATGCCCTTTTAAAGTGTTCAGTTAAGTTTAAAAAATTATACAACCTCCACCACTATTAAGATGTAGAACATCTGTACTGACCCCCCCCCCCCCCAAGTCTTACTTGTGACCCTACTCAGTGTCATGCTCACCTCTGATCCCTAGCCCCAAGCAAACAATGATCTGCTTCCTAAAATTTCATGTAAGTAAAGTCATACAGTATGCACTCTTTTGTGTCTGGCTTATTTTACTCAACATAATGTTGTGATTCATGCATATTATTGTGTGTGCGAATTGTTCTTTTAAATTTTCTGAATAGTATTCCATTTTATGAGTAAACTACATTTTTCCTTTCACCTATTGATGGACATTTGGTTGTTTTCAGAAATTTGTGGCTCTGCTATGAACACTGTGTACCAGTCTTTGTTCAGACAAATCTTTTCATTTTTCTTAGATAAGTATCTTTGGATGGAATTGCTGGGTCACATGGTTAGTGTATGGTTAACTTTAGAAGAAACTTCCATATTAGTTTCTGAAGTTGCTATACCATTTTATATTCTCACCTTAGTGTATAATAGCTCCAGTTCATGCACACTCAGTCATTGTTTTGAAGCTGAATAGCATTCTTAGCAAATGTGTGGATGGGGTTAGGAGAGCTGTCTATACTCATCCAGAGTCTCCATTTAGTTTGACTAGTCCTACAGTAAGAAAATAACTTTCGTTTTCATTTTTTATCCTCTCAGGGTTCTCAGTTTTCTGGCAGAATTTAGTTTTCTGAAAAACGTACTATTTCTAGAGCTTCTTTTTTTGTATGTTTGTTTTTTAAATATAGCTCCATTGTGACAGTCCAGTCTGGCATCATACTGAAATGACATTTCTGAAATAATTTCTCATTTTGAAGCTCTTTATTTTTATGAAACTCCTTGCCCCTCAGTGTGTCATGTAAAGCAGGTCCTTACATGTAGCAGGTGCTCAGTCTGTGTCTCCTTGTTTCTTAAATACCATATTTTCACTCTACAGTATGTATTATTATCTTTTTAAGCAAGTAGCTAAATTGGGCAGAACTGTATATTTACTGACATATTATGGAACCTTCTTAACTAGCATAATGAATGATTCAAATTGTTGAATTTGATCTGTGTCTCACTTAGAAGATCTTTTATGCCCAGTAGCATCAAAGGGTAGAGAAGAGGTGTGTCTGACAAGGAAGTAGAAAGGTTTGTCCTTCTCTAATAAATCAAAATTTATGTATATTGTAAACTCAAAATTCTCTAAGGTTGGGCATATCCAGTCCATGCCAGGGAAGAAGAACCATAGCGCTTTGCCTTTGATTTTAAGTCATCTCCTTTTTAATATACAAATACACCAGCATGCACCGTCATCACTACCACCACCACCACCACCATCATGATCAACAGCAACAACCCAAGTTTATTTCAGGACCAGTTCGGCAATTTAGGGAAAAGCCTATCTCAGGTGAGAGTTACATCTGCCAGTATGGTTGAGCTAAAGATTTTTCACAGAGAGTAAATCCCATAGGTGGACATTTGTCTCTAACCTCCTATTTTATTGGTCCTTTCTATATTCGCTACTGCCCTTCCTTAGGCATCTTTTCTAGTCTAAAGATCAAATCTGGTTCTTATCTGAATGCCTCCCCTTCCTTTTTTCTCTTCCCATGAAATTCACTTATAATGAAGTATAATCTTTTTTGCTTTGGAAGTGAATAGTTCCCATCAACTGGACTGTAGATTATGCTGATTGGTTCAAGTTACCTCCTGGAGTTAACTTTGTGATTAGCTCTCATGTGCATTGTGTTGGAGATAGAAGAGCAGAAGGTAGTAGAAGAAAATGTGAAAGACAGCATTATGCTATCAGGGTTACTTGGTATGTTTCATTTGTGTCACATAGCAACTCTACAACTCCAGTTTCTAAGCCTCATACTTTGGTTTCCATTTGTGAAATAGGGATAACAGGACTGTCCTTGGGTTAGTGGAATGATCAAACTATTTCATATAGGTGAAGAACTTAGAATGCTAGAGTTTTAATCTGTCTGTTTAATAAAAGCACTAGATAGTATTTGTTTTTAAAATGCACATTTCTTCTGTCATATATTTTTATATAATGGACTAGAAAATGTTAACTGGTTATACTTGTGGCCTTGGATGTCTGGTGATTTAAGTATTCCTTTTTTTCTGTATTAAACTTTAAGTTTTAGATGAAAGGAAGACATTCAGCTCTTCAGCAAAAGTAATATCCTATAAACAATCACATTTAATCAATAGGGGTTTCTTCTCCATTGTTTTTGCCAGCATCTTCCACTTACTTGGTTTTGACTACTACTCAAGACATTGTAAGCTTTGTGTTTAGAATATATTGTAAAAACACTTAACATGATGATTAGGTAGTTCTTCAGAGGTTCATTAATATCTTAGTATTATTTTACTGATTGTTGTAGCTTAGTTCAACTTTTATTCTAAGTGTTTATTCTGGCTCAGTCACTGAGTGTGGTTAGCCTGCAGGGCACAGTCAGTCCAGATCAGGAGATACTCTATTGATTATTCATGTCCTGCCTACTTTTTATAGCATGCAGTAAAAATGTTTATCTCTGACATTTCTACACATTTTATTACTCCTTAGGCCAGTTTCTGCTATACCCACTGACCTTCATAAAAAAGAAGAATCCACATTTGCTAGTTTTAGGTTTGACATAGGAATATATTTGGTTACACAGATCAGTGTCTAAAGGATTTAAATGTACAAAATGGTTTCTGACATCTTGGGTTGTCTAAAGAAAAGAACAAGAATTAAAGGAGGTAATGAAGTAAAGGAAAGTATGGAACTGATGATTAAAAGCAGGAAAAAATACAGTGGTTTATAGGAATAACTGCTGACCTTGTCCAGTGTGGAACCTACCTCCTTCAACCTGCCCCTCCTCATCTATGATGGATATAGCAATGTAGCTGAAAGACTGAAATCTGCAGTTAGTTTTGGGGAAAATAGAAGCCAAGTTCCTGCTCACTTACTGGTTAAAGTAACCTTAGACAAATCATTTAAGTTCTTGTTTCAGTTTCTTCTCCTGCAAAATATAGTTATTAATAAAATATCTATAATATGTCTTCATATCATAAGACTATTGTGAGGATCAAATAAATAACGTATGTAAAAATATTTTGTAAGTGGTAAAGTTTAGCTAATCATTTGATGATGATTGATGACCACATTCAGCCTTCAAAGACATCTCAGTTTTATTTGCGCTGGGCCTCTGTTTTCAGGTTTCTGCTATCTCTTGGTAGGTGTTAATCTCAGTGAGCCATAGAATGTCCTATTCAGCTTCTACTAGTACATGAGTGTTTTTCTGGCCTTGGTTCTTCTCCCAGTGGTGAAAAGTATTGGTTGATACAGTTTATTACAAAGAGCTCAAAGAAGGCCACACATACCAAGAGCTTTAATATACTTCTGGCTGGCTGAAGGATGATGGAGGCTGATAGGTGGC